GTCTTTGATGTTGATGATGATGATGATGAGCGTCCTTATAACTGAAGCGAAGTGTGTACTGTTGTAAGAAGGAATTTGTTCTGAAGACCAGAGTTCGAACCTCAGTCTTCCTTCTGAACCGTTTTACACTGTTTGATAAATCTGCTCTAGACACCCACAGAATGGGGATTCTTAACCGGTGATACTCACCATTATTTATTGTTGGTACGTTCTGTCGCTAGCCATAGTACGTCCTGTTCAGTGCCTCCCCTGAAAGGTGTATCGAATGAGTGTCCACAGTCGATGCTTTGGTGTCGCTCGTTTCGAGTAGCTCTTCCAGTATCGTCGATTTCGGCTATTTTTGGACACGTTCTTTTCCGACCACATGCAAGCAGTCAGTACTGTTCTTTCTCTTAAACCACATCGATAATGGCGTTGTCATTGATATGGTCATTTGAAAACTCGAATTGGCCGATATTGGACGCCTGGGTCTACAGGTTATCTACGGCTGCACCAGCAGAACGAACTCTGGCCCAAATCTCTCGCCACCGACAGCGTCGCTCGCATAGCCGGTATTCTAGACATCTAAGAAGTAGGCTCATCCTAACGCAGAGGGTAGCCTAAGTAAAGTGAAGTAAAAGTACATGCACTTTAGGTGTATTTCGTAGCGTTAGCATACCACACAAGACTTTAAGGTAAGTCATGGTCAGTGCTGTTTTTTTCTGTCAGTGATTACAATCCACATTCCATCTATTTTCCTTGCAGCGTTTGCTGCTTCAGTGTTAGCTGCAGCATAACGAACTTCGCTTAGCAACAGAATTATGACGGAGGTCAACAACTTGGTCTCTCTCTTGGTCTCTGATAAAGTGGGTTGTGCATATTCAGAATATTCTTTCTGCTTTGAAAAGTTCATTTCGCATCACAAACGCTTTTACGATGTATATATTTCTCCACAATAGAATAAGGTTGGATGCGCCAGCATCACCCATTTTTAAACTTGAGCTTAGATGGCGTTTTGTTAGTATCGCGTTAATACTGATATTTTTTATTACTCGTAGGGTGGGTTCAAGGGACAAGGGAACCTTTTAGGATGCTACAAATTCATTAAAAGCGACAAGACCACATCGAGTGAGTGCTCGCATGTATAACGTAGTCAGGTACGAGTGTTCAGGTAAGAAGTGACCGGATGCCTGCATAACTGAAGATTGTAAGAAGCTGGGTCAACGGAGAGTGACAGTGTTGCACGGTCATGCCGTTATGGGGAAGGGACTAGTCATGTGCGACCAAGAAGAGTTTTGACATGGTGAGTGTTGTGTCTTGCTGAATGTCAGGACAGTTTGTACGATCGAGTGATCTGAGATTGGGAAAGGTGTGAGCCCGGAACAATACAATTGTAACGGTAGGTAACGAAAACGAGGTTAAGTACCGACATTGCCAATGTGGTCAGTAGAGCAGGCCATGAGATGTGCATATTACTGCTGAACTTGGTCAGGGGTTGAAAAACAAGTGGAAAGATTCCCATTAGACATAGCCTTATATGGTGGGATGAATCCAAGATTCTGGCGGCTGATCGGATGGCCGTTGTTCTGTTCGCTGACCTTGCCAATTAGCCTGAGAACGTTTCGTCTCCGGTCGAGGAGGTCCTCCGGCCATTAGGCCGGATTGGCACTGCTGATGATGCCCAATGAGGATGAAACAGCTGTACGGTGCATCATAACTTTTCCGCATCGTAAATTGCCAAATCCCACGCTGTCATAAATGTTTTGTTGTTTGGTGCGGAAAACTTGTGGTCCATCTCCGATTAGGCGCCCCTATCACGAGATGACACCTTTGTTAAGGGCAAATTTGATACTCCTGAGGATGGTTTAAGTGCTATAACGTCAGATAGTTTTTTATAAGCTCTTTAAATATAGGTTTAATGATAATGGACTGGCCCTATTATACGATAAAATATGCGATAGGAGTCAGCAGGACGTTCATTAAGAGAAATTACGATAGATACCTTACGTGAAAGCCGGCAGCACATCATTTTTGGTCACTGATTCTTCACTATCGTACGACCGAAATTCATATCAGCATCTTGTCGTAAAAGGAGCAACAAAAGGAACCTGATGTAAGCTTACTGCAAGCACATTTTCAAACACCATCATACAGTTCAGACATAGGCTGATGACAAAGTCGCCGCGGATGTCGATTGATAGCTGTTTTGCAGGGTCTCCTGTCATTTTCGGAGGGGATCACGTGAGCCCCATCCTGAATGGCGCCTCGGCCTTTGAAACACCATTGTTCTGTGCACTCACGAAATAATGCTATTTCCGTCGAATTTCCGGAATGTGTTGCCGATACAGAGATGTACGTGCTTACTGTTTAGCACGGAAAACATATTGCGTTCCTTACTTGCATAGCGATGTGCTAAGCAAGTTGGGAATATGAATTCAAGAACGCTTCTTCAGACAGTGCAGCTCTAACCCGGTCGCCCAATTTAACGAAACAGTCTATCTTCTTGATATCATTTATGGTTACCAAGGGCATACATTTGTACGTTTGAAAAACTCACGAAGAGGGAAGCACATGTGCTGATCTCGCCTGACTGGCAATGACCTAACTAATACGGTTAACCGAAGGCATGATGACGCCCCCTAATTGCGTTGTACTTGACCCGTGTTGAAATGACCGTAGAAGTACCCTCGAGGAAGTTCGCCTGCGGCATCTGTATCTTTGGCTAATAAGATCTGACCCCACTGCAAACGGCATGGCTCTAACTAAGGTTAGGCTCTAGGTAAGTCCCGAGTTGAGTCAGCTCTGGGCTTTCTAAGGTGCAGTGTTAAGATCGATGGGTTGCTCTCTCAGGTGAATGTGCCCTCTGGTTTCTCATTTGTAAAGAGGACCAGTATCAGATGTAATACATTCCCTCTTAATTAAAAAAATTGTCACGGCTAACCATGAGAAACGCGAATGTCATCGACATAGAAGCAGCTTTCTAAATAATCTGCCGATATTTTCACTTGATGTGACCCCTACTGAGTCTGTACTATAAATATAGTTGTTCATGACACTGGTGAAGTCCTGAGCGACTGCCAAACTCATTGGAGTGTTGTGACCCATTCGAGTGTTGTAGTGGTTGTTAAATGTCCTGATTATTCGTCCTCTTTGCACTCTTTACGGAGGCTTTCTTTCCTCATGCTTTGGAAGTTGAGCAGTATGCAGTACTGTTTTTGCTCTTATTGATGATAATAACTTTTTTCCAGTTCGCTTTCGTTCAACCTGATGCCCGAAAATTCTCGCTGTTAACCAACATGCTTAACAAACGGCTGGAAGATGGACAAGGGGAGTGTTTTCTTGAGCTCGGTATTGGAGGTAAGTTTTAATTTTCATCCAGATGTCATATTTGCTGAACAGCTGGTGACCTGTAAACCTTGAGAGTTTGGAGTTTCAGTTCTGTACTATGTTCAGCTACCGAAGCCCAGCCTATACTGAAAACCCGGAAGATATTGTTGGCAGTGAGTCTGAGTGAGTCTCGTTGGAGATTCCGAATGGTGATTCCTAGTGAACTATTCGGGCTGAACTATACTGTGAAGGAATTATAATTTTAAAAGCAGGAGGAATCATTTCGAAAGCGGAGACGATTACATGAAGCGTAGGAGTGATCGCTTCAAAAGGAAGAGAATCAGTCACGTTGCTTTTGCGCATGGTTCACTGGTTTCTCATCGCATGAAACACGTTTTTTTCGCAGGGCACTTGCATAAGGGTAGGACTAAAAACCAGGAAGTGGCAGTACAGTCCTACCGATTGACATACACTGTCTCAATGCGGCGGAATAGTAATCAAGCGCCGGTCGTGAATTAAGAATGCTTTTAGGTGGCTATCCTAGGCCAAACAATCTAGAGGCAAATGCTCGCTGGGTAATGCGTATGTTGTAAAGTTACAAAACAGGTCATTTAACTACTAGGCGGTCTAGCTAAACTTTTAACACCTCGCCTAACGCTATTGGAACTAATCACTGCGGACAAATCAACTTATTCCAGAAGACGTTCTAATTCTGGTTCCGAAAGCGACCATCTCGCATACAGCTGCCAACGCTGCAGCGCAGCAGTAATCATAATCAGAGACAGCACCATTAGTGTTAACACTGATGTTCCAATGATCTTTAACCTCAAAGTTTACTTAGTTATAACTAAAGCCTTAAAGTGCAAAGAAGAAAGAGTGGATGAGGGAGAGACGTAGTGCTTTCCTGTCGCAAACATTCTGAGCTGCCTACACATCCGGGCGTTCAGTCAGACAGTCGGGGGATCAACTGATAGCACGAACTCCACTGACATCAATCAGCCGCCATTTCTTGCAACGTTTTCAGCCAAGCGCATAGAGAGGGTTACGGGTATCCCATCCTACAAGGCGTACCTCACCAACAACACGCAAACTCTTCTGTGGATTCGTGTGCGAGGCGAGTGTGCTACCACTATTTCACCAGCGCACACTGGAGGCGCCTAAACTGACGCATGTGTTGAAGTTTGAGCGATGCGATCGGCTTTCCCGACGCATCGAACGACGACCCGATAATTGTCGTGATTGCGTCAACCGATTGACCCGCCCGTCAAGACTTCCTAGTCAGGTGGTATCTCAGATGCTTGAAATTTGCTGGATCATTTATCCACTAGTGGGGGGTGTTTGCGGGCTTCGTAGAATTTACATTCACATCTCGTGTGAACAGTCATCCTCCTGTCCTGCGCGGTTATTCTGTTGGGTCCATACCCTAGAGGTAACCCAATTCCGACACTCGCGACATTCGCCAGTTCAGGTGTGATGATTCAGGTGCTTCCAGAGTGCCCTAGTGGAATAGTGGTGACACTCGCCTAGCACATCTGATATCCGGAGTTCAAACTCAGAAACCACCAAGAATATGCGCTGCTGTTAACTCTAATAATAATAGAGGGTGTGGACTCATCGAGGCCTGAGAGGGGCTGTGCAGATGAGGGTTACGTGAATTCTAAGGATCCCGCAACCACTTACAATCAATGTCAAAATGTCCGAACTGGGTGTCTCCACAAAAGTTGCTGCAATTTCTGGTAGAAATCGTTATTCTCATCATCAGTGGCTGCATTCAACTGAGACATTTTCCGATACGACAACAAGGATTCCATTCTTACATGTTTTCGGTACTCTGGATGCGCCGTTAAGTCCTAATGCTGATCTGAAATGAAACTGTGAATTCCGCCGCCATGCTTGCTACAACTCCAATGTATGTCTGGATCCGCTCCTGGACTGCGGCGCGGATAATTTCTGTAAAAGTCATTTGTGCTAGGTTTCGTTGAGTATAGCGTGACCATTATGCTCGAGTCTTGTGGTCACTTTTCTAACAAACAACACCTGCCAATGACCAGTGATCCGAAGTTGTGGAGCGGTGCGGACTATTTATCTGAGTGCACCAACACTCGCAGTTTGAACGCAGAAGGCCACTTTCACTCGAGGTCAGAGCATCTTGTTGGGTGGGGGTAGACGGCTCAGATTGAACAATACTCGTGACGCATCGAGAAAAACTCCGGCATGTAGAAGTTGATCGGACTAAGAGTGGAGAAAACGTGAGTAAAGTTAGCAAACTTGTTCTCAGCCTGCAACACCTCGACCGGAAAATTGTATACCAAGTGATACAGCTTAGGAATTAGGATTGTATTTCACACTTCATCCTGGATCCAGTATATATATATAT